GAAAGATGAAGCATTCCACCAATACTGTTTACAATTACCACAAAAGAATTACAGCTACAAGTATTTTCATGTTGGTTGTACCTATGCAAAAACTTGTCTAAAAACATCTGGGTTGTGCTAAATGATTTTTTCAATATTATATTGCTTAAAACTTTAGTGATATATACAGATATTTAAAACTAGTTATGCAAAAATTTCTTTAAATTTTTAATATTGGCTATTAATATTTTGTCTGAAATATATTTTTATTATTTACATATATTTTTGGTTTTGAAAAGGATATTCAAGATGAATTTTTCGTTTTCAAAAGAAAACTGGATTTCCTTAAAGTAATTAAAAAAAACCAAGTTGTATAAAGGAGAACAGATTTAGAACTTTTCTTCACTTTCTCCAGTAACTACAATCAAAAGAAAATGAAATATCTTCTTTTTTCTTGCTTGTTGGTAATGTTAACTTATCAAGCATTCTCTCAACCTCCTGTTTCTCAATTGCTAAACTTTAATTTTCTAAGTTTTCCAAAATAAGATATGTATTGAATATTCTGAACTTTTATCTCTAAGCAAGAGGTTAAAAAACTAAGCTAACAATTGTAAAGTTTGAACAATGCAAAGTAACATTTTAACACAATTGAAAGTTCTAAAAATGGTTCCACTTTTAATTGATTTCATTAATCCTAAGTAAATAGGTCAGATAAATTTAGATGGTCAGCTTCTTTTGCAAGATGTAACAATTTTGGTACCATTCAATTCAACTATTGAAAGTGAGAAATTGGAACTGGCCCAAAAGTCAACAATAGTTGAGTTTGACCTTTTGATACTCTTTAGCTGGTGGCTAAATAAATGTTCTTAAGTGATTAAAGTAAGACTAATGTAGTTCTATAGTTAATGCTAAATTCATTGCATTTGTTTGCAAGAATTTTATATACAGATGTGCGTACCTGCATTGCAGCATATATGTATAATAGAATTGTGCTTACCCAGCACACAATGCTATTGTTATGTATTCATATAAAATAGTATTGAATTAAGTCTATGGTTTTCTAAAAGAGCATCTATATCGAACTGAAGTGCACAGTCAAAACAGTATTTTTTAATATGCTTTTTTAAGGATAGCTGACCAGCTAATCAGTTTTGCAAACTAATCATCAGGCAATTGTATTAAATTAAAAAGTTAACAGAATTTGTTAATTGTGCCTCAAGAAAGTACAATAGCTGCAACTTGTATTCTTTTAAAAATCTATTCCATGATATCTTGAACAATTAAACCTTTTCATTGAGCAATTAGTACCAAACCCACCATGGCAAGCCACACACTCCTGATAAAAAGTTCTCTAAAAAGATGCACAATTAACTTTGTTATAACTTATTTAAAAAAAGCCACACCTTTTCAAATAGTTTCTTAAGAAGAAATTCTTGCATTAAGGTATTTTCCTTCTCATTAAAGTTTCGCAATTGAGAAACAGCAGGTTGAGAGAATGCTTGATAAGTTAACATTACCAACAAGCAAGAAAAAAGAAGATATTTCATTTTCTTTTGATTGTAGTTACTGGAGAAAGTGAAGAAAAGTTCTAAATCTGTTCTCCTTTATACAACTTGGCTTTTTTTAATTACTTTAAGGAAAACCAGTTTTCTTTTGAAAACGAAAAATTCATCTTGAATATCCTTTTCAAAACCAAAAATATATGTAAATAATAAAAATATATTTCAGACAAAATATTAATAGCCAATATTAAAAATTTAATGAAATTTTTGCATAACTAGTTTTAAATATCTGTATATATCACTAAAGTTTTAAGCAATATAATATTGAAAAAATCATTTAGCACAACCCAGATGTTTTTAGACAAGTTTTTGCATAGGTACAACCAACATGAAAATACTTGTAGCTGTAATTCTTTTGTGGTAATTGTAAACAGTATTGGTGGAATGCTTCATCTTTCTAAAGTGGATCACAAACAGTGAATCCAGCCTCAGAAAAACAACAGTTTTTTCAGTAATTTTTTCAGACAAGTGTAATATGTGTTAAACTTTACTATAATAGAAGTTATATAATATGCAATAAAGAATAGGGGAACTGTTGAAAATAATAAATAATAGATATATATTGAGGAGTTGTCTTTTCTTATATCAGTAGATGTAATGAAAATATGGATACAAATTGGACTTTTGCTATGAGTATCCTATGGGAAGAGGCACAAAGAAACAGTAATATGTATTAAGAAATTGGTAAAAAGGATTAATGTTGTACTATATCTTTTACAAATGATAAAACTGAAATTAACAATAGCAATAGTATTATAAATGATGTTGTCAAAAATTTTTGCTGAGTAATGTAATTTCCTGTGCACTTATATATAATGATAGATCCATACTTAGACTTTAGATATAAGGGTACATTAGAAAGACTTCTATTTTATAGGAATTAGACTGGTGCAACTATAGAAATACTTATATTTCGTAGGAATTATAGTGGTGGAACTTTAGAAAGACTTTTATTTCGTAGAGTTAGCTTTTAGTACTTTAGAAAGAACTCTATTTTGTAAGAAATAGACTCTTTGACTGTAACAGATGGTGGCTACTTGGGGAATTAACAAAGGAACAAAGAACATGGAAAAGATGCAGGTCAAACACCAGATGCTGATGAGACAGGCCTGTTTGCTGTGACACATGTTTGGCATGTGGCCCTAATCTTAGGATTATATTTTATATGTGTGATATGCAGTCTTTCATATTTTTGTTACATGAGAATTATGAGACTGTCAGATTTCAACTTTGTAATCCTTTGACCACTTGAACCCAAGCTTTGGAAAATGTATAAAAGGAAATGCATTTACTCAGCTTGTCAGTTCAGTTCTTTAACAGTTAACTGGTTGTTTAAACTTACTTGTTTAGAACTAGAAACTCATTTACTCAATACATATTCTTTGGACGAAATACTGGTATTTTGTTGAATTATTTCTACCGAAATTACATTTGTTAAGACTATTTGTGGACGAACTTGAAAGGTTCTAATTGGACCAGTACTTTCATAAATTGATAAATGATTGGAAAGGACAAATACTGTTCTGAAGAAGCAGAAATTCCTACAATTACAATACAACAAAGTACAGTAATGTCAACACACCCAGAATGCCATGTATTACCAAAGCAGTAACTACTAAATAAAAGTGACAGATTATTGTATGAAGTATAGTTGAAACTGCAATACTTTGAGGCATTACAGCCCGTGGTCCACTAATATGTGGGTCACTTTCATTAAAACATATAGTATTTATAATTAAATACAATTCATAATTTTATAATGTTAGCGAGAAGAAAAATGCCCAAAAAGAATAAACTTATGTCAGAATAGAAGCATTCATCAGCAGCTGATACTCATGAGACAAGCCTGCAGTATTTCATGTTGGCCATATGGTCTTAATCTGAACAATATATTTTACTTGTGTCCTCTAATGGAACAATCTTTCATATTTTTATTACATATGAATCATGAGATCATCACATTTCACCTTTGTAAGCCATTGACCCTTTGGTAATGTATAAAAGGAAATACATTTCCAAAGCTATATAAAATGATTGCAAATATATTATAGAGAATAGCTTAGCAAAGAATAACTACTGTAGATATAGGTTTCTACTACTCACATTAACCTAAAAAGCTTGAAGTTTATGAGCAAAACCAAGTTGTCTGTTTGTTCCTAGCTGGAAAAACTTTAACTACTTTTAATAAAGCATCTGAAATGGAGTTTTTATAAGATTCTTTGTTAAATGAAGTTAGTAAAAGGTTTCAGTTTTGTAAAAGTGCCTTGAGAGCCATAACAGATAAGATCAATAATATTTCTAAGAAATTCAGTGAGTTTGAATAGCATTTGAAATGTTTTATATACTCTTATCAATTACATTTTCAAAGAACATTGTATTAAATACATTGAATTAATATTTGTGAACTTCTTACTAAGCTGACCAGAGCAATTACATTGTATTACATATTATTCACAAAGTGTCTCAGCACATTTGTGAACTTTCTCACTAAGCTGACCAGGGCATTGACAAAATTTTTTTGAGTTATTTATAGTTTAGTCAATGAAAAAATATTCAATACCAGAAAATATGTTATTCAAAAATTTTATTACCTTGATGAAAGAGAGCAGATAGGTTTTATTATAGTGAATTTTAGCAATATAAAAGATCTAAACATTGATTTCTTCAAATTATTGCGAGTTTGAAGAATGTTGCATTTTGAATATTCATTAAGCTATTTTTAGATACATATATATATATATAGAAATTTACCTCACAAAAGGTGAGAGAGATATAATACAAGCACGTACGCATTCCCTGAAACCAATAGTTATTACTTTTGCATGCTAAAATTTTCTATCAATCGTAATTGAAAAAGATTAGTTTTTCTAATGTGAAATTTTTAGACAAAATCTGTTATAACTTAACAAATAACTGAGTATGTAAAAACATATTGAAGAAAATAATTTTGCAAGAAATTTTCCACCTTTAATCTAGAGGTTAAATCATCTGTTAATGCCTATTAAATGCTAGGATATTGTAAATATCTTAAGTGGTTTACCCTTTACCCCTTATGATTAAATGACACCACTCTGAGTGAATGTCATTGCAACAAAAGTAAAACTATTTTATGACAGTATTTGCATGGAAATAATTTTATTTTATTATCTTTTTACAGTGCAAAAACACATTAATATATTGTATAGTAGCACTTTCAAAAATGTTTTTGAATATGTATATTTTGTTATGAATATTAATTTTTTTTTCAGAATTCATTGAATTTTTTTATCAAACCATGAAATAATTCTTTGTAAATTATTCATTCAAATCCTCAGCTGATTTAATTAGGAATGATGTGTATAATTTTTTTAAAGAAAGAAAGGCCAATTTTTGAATATATTTCAAAAAAGTCCCCACCTTAAGTAAGGCCACTTACCTGTAATAAATTCATGCAATCTCAAAAAAAATTTCATAGCTCAGAAAAAAATGAAGTTTTTCTTCAACTTTGTGATATTGTTGACTCTCTATGTCCAGGTAAAAAGTGCAGATAATATCATAATCAATGAATTGGACATTGATAATGGATGGATTGAATTGAAAAACCTAGACCCCATAAACCCATATGATTTTTCTGTTAATGAAATTCATTTAAGATCCTTTTTCGGTCCACAAAATTCAGATATAGAATCTTATGTTCGACTACCTGGTGTTATTGCTCCAAATGGTTACATCGTATATCATTTCAATACTAATGAACGTCGAAAAAAAAGAAGTGCTGGTGGCAATATTAACTTTTCACTCGAAACTACTGGCAGCAGATATGTAATGCTTTACAAAGGTAAATTTTTTTGAGAATGTTTTAAACTTTTGTTTTATTGATTTTCATTTTTAGACTACTATGGTACATTTATTGATGGTCTAGTATTTAAAGTTACAGCTAGTGCAAATGAAGAATATTTTTCACCTTTGGCAAATGAATGGGATAACAAATATTTAATGTATGAAAGTGGTAAGATTTTTGCAAGAAATGGAGAAACTAAAAATAGTCCATCAGACTGGAAACTGGTAACAGTGGGAACACCTGATGCTGAAAATGGTTTGTCAACACTTTTTTAACTAATTTTTAATAATTTTTTTATATATATGGAATTTTTAAAGGTGTAAGTGGTGATCCGCATTTTGTTCAAACTGTCTTTGATGCCCACACCAACAAACCCCTCAAAATATGCTATGATGTCACTGGTGAATCTGGAAATGAAATTTACATTTTAGAAGATAAATTTACAGATACAAAAGTAACTGGTGTTTTATTGAATGATTATTACATGCATTCAATTAAAATTTATCAAGGACATGGATTATACACTGTTAATACCAATGACATAGAGTTGGAAAATCATAATAAAATGTCATGGCAAAATATGTTTCATTACAAAAATGGCAATAACTTGCTGGAAATGTTTATAAGAAATGAAAATATTTTCATAATGATAAAAAATGATAGATTCAATAAGCTTAGTATGATGATTAAGAAATATAGTAATCCTTTAGTGGGTAAATATTTGGATGTTACCTTTGGTAATTTGTTACCAACACGTGACAGATTTAGTGGTTTAATTGGACATGTTGGAAAACAATCAATTGTCATTCTTGATTCAATTCAAGATAATCAATTTGCTATGCTTAAAATTAATAATGAAACAAATTTTGTTGAATTACAAAAGAGAAACAATGTTGAATGTTGGCTAATCAATTTTAAAAGTTTAATCATTCCAAAACAACCAAAACATTTCATACTCAATTAATTCTTTAATAATTACAATAAAACAGTTAAAAAGGAAAGGAATCTAAAAACATTATAAAATTTAAAATCTTGTCAGTTAATTATGTTTTTTCTTTAGTTTCAATTTAACATATTGGTTACAAGTGGAAATTTTTTTAAACCTAAACTAACCCTTCTTTTAACAAAAATACACAGCTTCATATCTGAAAAATGTAATTTTTTAAATTTTTATATCTTTATCAAGTTTTCTTATTTCTTAAAAGTTCTTTAGTCACCAGCTAAAGAGTATCAAAAGGTCAAACTCAACTATTGTTGACTTTTGGACCAGTTCCAATTTCCCACATTCAATGGTTGACTTGAATGTTACCAAAATTGTTGCATCTTACAAAAGAAGCTGACCATCTAAATTTATCTGACCTAATTACTCAGGATGAATGAAACCAATTAAAAGTGGAACCATTTTTAGAACATTCAATTGTGTTAAAACGTTACTTTGCATTGTTCAAACTTTGAATTTGTGAACTGTTAAGAAAGTATATAAACCCTACGAATTGAACAGTTGTTAGCTTAGTTTTCTAACCGCTTGCTTAGAGATAAAAGCTCAGAATATTCAATACATATCTTATTTGAAAAATACTGACTTTCTGTTGAAAGTTTGATATAAAACTTTGAACAAATATCATTTACTTGCTTATACTTGTGGACGAACATGAGGTTCTATTTGGACCAGTACTTTGGCGTATTATTAAATGAGCTGTACAGATAAATACGGTTGGGACGAGAATGAAATTCCTATGATCACAATACAACAGAGTACAATTTCATTTATGGATTACAAATATATTGGTAAATATATGCAAATTGATTCAAAATGGAGGAGTAATAGTCAATGTAGAATTAATGGAGTACTTTTATTGTTTTCAATGTTATTATCAAATTTAATAATATGTTGGAATACTGTTGCAATTGTTCTTGTAGTTTGGAGAAACATATGGAAAAAACTATACTCTATAATACCACTTGTCAGCTTTTTTTATAAAAGAAAGAATTAAATTTTTTTGAATTTGAATATTCAAATGTTAAAATGATTTTTTATATAATAATTTTGTTAATTTTTACCTTCTGATTGTTTTCAAAATTGTGGAAAATTAGTGGAAATTCTATATCTAGATATTTTAAACAAAAAATTAGTTAAATATCTTCTAGTTTCTATAGATGAAACAAACAACTATATCTATGGAATGCTAAAAGTTAAAATTCTTCATCTAAATCAAACTTTCTTAACAGATGTTTAGCCCTTTGTTGATCGAGATGTTTATATTCGTATATGCCCTTTCTTATTTGGGTTTGCCACGCCATGATATGGTATGAATCATTTTATTATCTCATTTTCTTCCTTTCTCTTTGCAAAGCCCTTGTCCAGGTAATACATAATGCCTTTGTCATACAGTCTCTCATACAGCACATCTCTCATAGACCTTTTCTGTAAGCCCTCTAACCTCTTATACGCCATATATTTGTTGCATTCTAATTCCTTCTCTTCCCCATTAAACAAGATAGGTGCTAACACTTTTCCGCCCTCAAAAGTTATTTTTTCTTCCAGTTCATCTATCTATCTTTTGTCTTTTAAAGTTAGTTTTTGTTCTTTTGAGTTATTTCCTTTTAGTATTGATGTACTTGTTGTATTGTTATTGTAGGAATTTCTGCTTCTTCAGAACAGTATTCGTCCTTTCCAATCATTTATCAACTTACCAAAGTACTCACACAAATAGAACCTTTCAAATTCGTCCACAAGTAGTCTTAACAAATGTAATTTCGGTAGAAATTAATCCACAAAACACCAGTATTTTGTCCAAAGAATATGTATTGAGTAAATGAGTTTCTAGTTCTAAACAAGTAAGTTTAAACAACCAGTTAACTGTTAAAGAACTGAACTGACAAGCTGAGGAAATGCATTTCCTTTTATACATTTACCAAAGCTTGGGTTCACTTGGTCAAAAGATTATGAAGTTGAAATGTAACAGTCTCACAATGCACATATAACAAAGACATGAAAAACTATTGCATCACTGCTGGCTAACATGTGGCACTGCAAAAACAAGCCTACCTCTTTGGCATCTGTTTTTGAATAAGATGTAATAATTTTGACATGCATTTTTTCTATACTGTTTGTTCCATTGTTAATTCCATAATGCAACATCTGTTATGGTCAAAGAATCTGTTTCCTACGAAATGAAGGTCTTTTTAAAGTTCTAGAATCTAATTCTACTAAATAAATGTCTTTCTAAACTTGCTACGAAATAAAAGCCTTTCTAAAGTTCTATAATATCTAAATCTAAATATTGTTATGTTGATGTTTCTAAGTGCACAGATATCCCACCCTTTTAAGACCTTGCTTCCACAAAAGGTCTGGGACTTGTCACTATGACTCTGTTATCTTCTTTCTTAAAAGTTGGGTAGTTTTGAAGAGGTATTGCTTCTTCTTCAATTTCTAAAGTTGAGTATGTTGGGACTTGTAGTTCCTCTTGTTGAATATCTGGAGCTGTGGTGTACACATACATTCGTCAGCTATATTCTACAATAGAGAAGTAGTATTGAACCAGTATTGTACTATGCAGATAGCACTGATAAAGATAAGCAGTAGTGACCTAGTTTCGCATAGGGCAGTGCATACACATTATGCAGTAATAAAACCTATTGAATTATATAAAGAATATTTGCTATTTGCAACCTAGCATTAATATTACAATTTATTAATCCATAAATTTATGATTTCGAACTAAAACTAGTTCAATTAATTATCAATTATGCTTAAATTCTAAGGTTAGATTATATTCACTATTCAACAGTATTGTATACACAATACTGTTCTTTTTAACATGCATTAATCAGATATACTTCCTCCTTATATGCTGATGCTAAATTTACTAACTCAATCAATTGAATATCATTATTAAGGTAGAATATAAAAACGGTCAAATATACAATCTACATGTTTTCTTGATTGTTGGACTTGTCCTACTAAAATTGTTACATCTTATGCAACTCTCCAACCTTCGAAATTCAACTATTATTTAGAAGAGGAAAACAATAAAAACATGACCATATTTAGAACTTTTCTTTGTCTTCAAATGTTACTTTTGTTTTTGTGAACATTGAAATTTGTGAACTATCAACCCTTAAAAGAGTATATAAACCCTACGAAATTAACAGTTGATAGTTCAGTTTTCTAACCGTCAGCTAGTTGTTTAAACTAGCTTGTTTAGAACTAGAAGCTCATTTTACTCAATACATATTCTTTGGACGAAATACTGGTGTTTTGTTAATCAATTTCTACCGAAATTGCCTTTGTTAGACTATTTGTGGACGAACTTTAAAGGTTCTATTTGGACCAGTACTTTGGCAAGTTGGTAAATGATTGGAAAGGACGATTACAGTTGTGACGAACCAGAAATTCCTACAATTACAATACAACAAAGTACAAATATGGCGCAGTCGACAGCCCACAATGCTACTTCAATGAATGTTATTTTGGTTTATGAGAATGACAAAGCCAGAGCCAAGGAAGTAGATGAGTATCTTTCAAAAATTAATGAATTAATGTTGAGAATTAAAAGTAGTGGAGCCAAAGTTGATGGTAATAGCTTTTTAAAGTACCATTTGATAACTGGGGCAGCTACAATTCCTGAAGGTATGGTTAATCCTGATCCTACTCAACCAAAATTCAGTTATGATGGCATTCAAGATAATGCTTTGGAAAAGACAATTGCAAGTCTTCTAATTGATGCTAATGAGAAACCTAATACTACTTTGCTGAGACCCTATTCTGGTAGCAAAGATACTTGGGCCTTTAAGAGGAACTTTCAAACAGCTTGTGAATTAAACCTTTGGGATACAGAAGAGAAAAGAGTTCGAATGCTGAGAAAATACACTACTGGAAGAGCCAGAGATGTTATTGAAAGTTTACCCTCCATGGCAAATGAAAATGAAATTTGGGATGCATTGGATGAAGAATTTAATCCAGATCCTATGGCTTACAAAAAAGAAATTGATAGATTGAGACAGTTCAATGATGAAACTGTCCAAAGTTTTGTTAGAAGAAGTAAAGAACTTGTGGAAAAATTCCTACCATTCAATACTACTGAAATGGCTTGTGTTACTGAAAGAGTTAGAGAACTTCAACTGTTAACTGTATTCAGGAATGGTCTTAAAGGAAAAATTGTTAATCATGTGGAAAAAGATGGAAAGATTAACTCAGTTAATCAGTATATTAAATTGGCAAAAAGAGCAGAAATATTTTTTGATAATGCAAGAAAAGAAAGCGAAAATGAATTCAAACAGTACAAAAGGAGATTTGACAACAATCAGAGTAACTCAAATCAAAATGAACATACATTTAAACCTTTTTCTCAAAATAGATTTCAACAACAAAGAAATGGAAATGCAGGAAATAATGAAAAAGGCAGCTTTAACAGACTAATACATGTTGGACCTGATGAACCTAATGAAACTGAAATTTCTAAAGGAAGAATGGCAATATTTAATCTCAAAGAAGAGAAAATCGCACATTTTAAGTGTACTTCTTTGGTAAAAGGCAGAAAAGATTTCCAATTTCGAATGAAAAATCATAATGGAAGAGAGGTTATTGCTTTATGTGATTCAGGAGCACTTTTGTCATTTATTACAGAAAAAGAAATCAGGTTAATGGATTCTAAATTCATCAAGAAAGAAACTACTGGCTTACCAATCATCACTTCAGCAGAGGGAAATGCTTTAAAGACAAAAGGAAAAACAAAACTGAATATTCAATTTAATGGAAGAATTATGGAACAAGAATTCTTTATTATGGAAAAACTAGATATGGCTATAATACTTGGTTGTGATTTCTTAGAAAATGCTGGAGCTCTTATTGATTTTGCAACAAAACAAGTTTCTCTTCCATTCTTTATCAGAAAAGGACAACCAGTTAGAAAGTTTTTGCAATATAACGAAAATCACCAAACAAAATTTGGAAAACAAGGCAGTGTAAAAAAAGTAACTGTTGGAATGATGGGACAGTA